TCTGGGCAAGTCATCGCAACTTGAAACTAGACATTGGTCAATCTTTGTGGAAGAGAACATTAACCTGTTGAGGAAACTCTGTGGTTCGTTGACCGAAAAATATCGCTAGGACGCCCGATGTACTGGTTAAATTTAGGGCTCTGGGCAAGTCATTGAATTTGAAACTAGACATTGGTCAATCTTTGTGGCAGAGAACATTAACCTGCCGAGGAAACTCTGTGATTAATTGACCGAAAAACATCACTAAGACGCCCGAAATACTGGTTAAATTTAGGGCTCTGGGCAAGTCATCGCAACTTGAAACTAGACATAGGTTAATCTTTGTGGAAGAGAACATTAACCTGTTGAGGAAACTCTGTGGTTCGTTGACCGAAAAACAACGCTAGGACGTCCGAAATATATTCAATTAAAGGTACTTTGCTCCTAATGAGCGTCTGTTTGTGTAACTTTCACTTTTTTTTTGTCATTTTACTTTTATTGTTGAATGTTTCATTTCTCACGCGTACTTCAAATGAGAAGCAGCAAAGATATGTAGCTGCTAAACCATTTTTTAAAAATGTCTGTTAATACGAACTACTTCCGGTGTCATTGTTTCACAGACAACTGTCTAATTGGCTCTTGTATAAAATTGCACCTACACATACCAATGATACGCTGAGTAAGCATAAAATCCGAACTTGGTGTTTATTTATAATCGAGACAAATCCAAGTCAGACATGTTGATATTCACGTGATTTTATTTAAAGGAGATGCGTATACATTGGTTGCTGTATTCTAATTCAGAAATCTGTTAATTATTTCATATACGCCTATTTTTTTATTTTCTTTTTTTACATTATTCGATTAATTGATATGGATCAATTTATATGAAACGGTCTATAAGTAAATTTTATTTTTTACATTATTCCATTAATTGATATGGATTTATTTATATGAAATGATCTATAAGTAAATTTTATTTGTTACGTTATTCCATTAATTAATTTGATCAATTTATATGAAACGGTGTATAAGTAAAACACGTCACACGATCCGAATCAGGAAAAACATGTAGATAAGTGCTAATAATAGACAACAGAAACAAGAAATGTTTTATGTGGAATGCATTTAATTGAAGAAAACTCTTATTAAGTTTATTCGGAGTGGGATACGAAAGAAGGAACAAAGTTAATCCAAGCTAGTACTTTGTAGATTGAATTTTTAAACTGACCATTTTTCATTTGAAGTTATTATATACATAAGATTTCTATTTATGTATTACGATTATTTTGCTTGGGAATGGCGATAAAATGAGATATCGTCCTCTGTTGGCTCAGCTGCAGGCTTCAAGGCCTATAAGAATAATAAAATTTTGTGTTCGATCCCTGCGACAGTCCAAATTTAAATGCTACACACACACGCAAAAATCATCCTGTTTTCAACCGTTGTTTACTCATTCCTCATACTCTCACCACTGTTGTTACTCCGATGTGGCTCTGCTCACCCTTAAAACTGGTATTAAACTGTATCGAAGCGGACTTCCATGTCCAACTACCAACAAAACTACGTATTCTCATTAATATCAATCCCAACTGATAAGGAGAGCTAAATAAAGTTTCTCATACTCTCCTCGTATCGCTGCTTCGTCAGCAAAATAAAAAGGGGTGGAAATCAGAGTTAAATTTTTCGACTTTTACGAGCTTTTAATCTCTGGTTAAAATTCCTTTTTTTTATGTAGTAGTTTGACTGTCACACTAAGCACAAGGACCCCCCCCCCCCTCAACTTTGTTTTTCTTGTAGTCATAAATTTGATGTGTGTGTGTTTATTGTATCTTAGCCATTAAGATATAACGCATTTGATATGCAGAATGGAATTGTTTTTACAAGAAAAATATATTTTGTTGTGTAGTCATGTTTCCCTGTTTCTGAACACTATTTATCAACTGGTAAATTCGAGTGTATGTGCAAGTAATGATGTGCACGTGATATTCTCACATGGAAATTTGTTAAGAGTAGAAATTTGGGCCCATTTTGATCCAGGGGCCAAGATATGATGGAAATCGGAGGAAAATGTGAGCGAAATTAACGTGTAAATAAGTATTTTAATGACAAACTTACATGACCTTCTATTTCCTATACCACCTCTGGATGCAGTTTTTGGAAAACAACCAGTCTTGTCTTTTCGTCTTTTTTTTTTACTCCATCTACCAAATCAGTTTTAGAATCTGCTTATAGTAGTGAGGCATGGTATTTGACCATAAATTCAATTCAATGTGAGGAAATCGTACCTATCGAAGTTGATGTTGGAAACTCCATGTCTACAGTACTTTTAGTGGAGTGAAAATAGGGATTTGTAGTTTGAGAAAATAATGTAAGCCCTATTTCCTGACTAGTTTGTTTTACTTTTTTAAAAAGAGTCCCTAGTTGTAGGCTTGAAAATATAATCGTTGCATTTTGATTCAACTTGTTTATGTTCTTCTTTGACGATTTCTATTTTCCTTTTTAAACAAACAACTTATAAATATTTTGTGTCCTTATAATGTTTCGGAATTTTTTATTCTATTCTGTTATTATATTTTGTTTTTCTTATTATCAGCCGTGATAAGGCTGCTATAATATCTTGTTTTTTAAGTGTTTTTTTTATGTCCATTTATGGAGAATACACTTTAAGCTACATACTTGCATATGCATTCAGTTGAATGTTACATGTTTTTCAACAGTTTCCTGCTGCATTGGCTTTTATTCCATCCAACCATTATGTACTGAGCCAGGTGGTTTTGTCCTGAGGTTTCGTATAAACGTGCATTTAACAAAGGAAGCCACTCACAACAACATCGCATATATTATGCATTTACAAGCAAAAGAGCCCGTCCCCAGTGACGGGAAAATTTTTAAGTTAATATATCAATTTAAATTATTACATGGACTTTAAAAAGGTTAATTGGTTTCACTCAAAGCCATGAAAAATAATTGTTGACCATTTCAGTCATGCTAGAGCCGTTCAACGACAACATACGGTAAATTCACATTTTTATAATTTAAGTTATATCACATTTTGAAATGTGAATGATAATGTGTTTTATTCCTAACAATGTAGAATATCCTGCTTGCAAAATAAAATTGGGCATCAACATTATTCACGCCTGTTCTCCCGTCATTTCAAAATTGAATGTTACGTTTTGCCTGCGTGCGCAGTTTTTCAAATGCAGCGCGGGAAGCGGCCGCCGTAAATGGGAGGGAGACAAACGACCTCTCGGACAGGCACCGCGGTTCGCAATATATATAAGGTAACCACGTAAATCAACTTTCAATGAAAAATAATTAACTTTTAAGTAGGTCATGGACATTCGCAAAGCTTCATATAGTATATCTGTCTAGGTTTTGGGGCAAAATACTCAGCCAATTTTGCTGTAGGCTTGTGAAACAAAAATAAATATGAATAATAATAATAATAAAACACGCACTCACACTTTCAGCGAAGTGCAAAAATTGGTAAAATAAATTACCACTCATAAGAGTAGATAAATCTACTATAGTATTCGTCTACTGTTTGAAATGGTCATTTACTGAAATGGTCGCAGAAAACCACGTAGAGACAGCAAGACAGCGAACTCGAGAAATGGTGAATCGTCAACATGGCAGTTTCCAATTAATGTGCTGTAAGTTGCACACATTATTTTCCAATTAATGTGCATTAATAAAACACCAGATTTTTTCAATGGAGGAAAATGAATGACTTAAAGAAATTTCAAGGCGTAAAAACGAAGTCGCTTGAATTAATTTTAAGTCTATCTTATGACATAATCAATACTGCATTCATTACTGTTGTACAGATGTCAGTAGAATATTCTTAGCCGTTTTTTTCTGTAGTGGTTTGTAAAACTATAATTAATAATAAGACTGGAGACAGCTATAAATATACACATTGTTCAAACTAGTATAACGGTGCTTAAATATCTTTGTATTTCTGCGATGTTTAACTGGCTTCAAAGAGCTTATGTTGGTAGGAAGAACTTTGAAAACTTAAAAAGTGGAAATCTCGACTTTCAAGAATCAACTTAAAAATAGCCCGACAACCTTCGCAGGAGTTTGTTTAGTAGCTGTGCATAAAATCTGTCGCAGTATTTCTAGCCGTTTTAGCTCTAGGCTTTGGTGCTTGAATGGCTTCGAATAATAATTTGGCCAGTAGCAATGAAAAAACTGATAAAATCTCTCCTCTTTAAAGAATCAACATTAAAAAAATAGCCCTATGACCTGTGCAGGAGTTGTTTTTAGTAGGTTTGCCCAGGTTTGAATAAAATATTCATAGACGTTTTTTCTGTACCCTTGTGAAACAAGAATAATATGAATAATAATAATATGAAGAACAAATGAATAAATTTTCAACTTTGTCTAACAATCGAAAAACCAACTTTTTTGCTATTATAAAGCAGCCTTAGCTATTGAGATAGAAGGTCTTGAATGTTGTTTCAAGAACAGGTCTGTTTTTGCCCGTATGTTCTATTAGAATTTTTGTGAAATTCCTAGGCGATCCCTATTATGAACCACTGTCGTGGGTTAAGATAATTTTTAGTCTTTTAGTGCAAATCGTACCCACAACGTTCGTGTGTTTTCTTAAACCATTCCCCACAAAGGTCTTAATTGTGTATGTCGAATATTATCATCAGATTTGAAAATTTACACCAGTGAGGAGCTCTATGTCAATAGGTAAGTGACGTGGAAGTGCACTTAAAAATTGAGTAAATGATATTGAAACAAAAGGACCTACTGACTGTTGCTCAGTGACTAATGTACCTATGCTTTTTTTTGGCGGGGGGGGGGGGGTAGAAGCACTATACCTCCTAATTCTCCTGAGTTGTAAAGATGACATTTGGCAGAGTATGTGATGTTCAAGTCTATGATTTATGTGTTGTACTTTTTTTAGAACAACATTAAACACTATTATAAATGTTCACGTAATTCAGTTTGGAGCATTATGAAGTTGATGAGTAGTCATCACACGCTTATTTTTTCTGTTTCAGGGATTTGTTAACTCCGGGTATGCAGTAAATGGGATGTCACATGTAAGTAACTGATTACTCTTTGCTATTATTATTTGCTGTAGATGTGAAATTTGTAACTTAAACGTTTAAGTAAATACATCATTAAAAATAAGAAATCATAAAGGATTTTAAAGCGAAAAGTTTAACGTATCGAGCTTCAGATTACGTTGTTATTAACATCATTTAGTATAAGATACCGCTAAGCCTAATGACAGTTGCTTGAATGTAGCCGGAAGATGCTTTATCAAAATCTTAACTCTTAGACATCCTGTGATGTTTCTCACAGTAAAGGTTCTGTAAATCGATCCAAAACGCTTTATGGGAGTTACTTTTTTTCATAGTTTCTAATACTTGTGAAGTAAGTAGTCCGTGCACTGGATAAATAAGATCAGACGAGGCTAAACATATAAAAATGGAATTACGTGTGAGCTATTCTAGGTTAAGTATAACGAGAGTATTCACACATAATAATTATGAACTGTTGAGAATCATAGCCTATATTGTAAATTGCGACAGACCAGACCCTTTACTAAGGCACGATGCTACTAAAACGAATTTTATATTACTGGTTTTCAGTTAGTGCTTGGGTCAATTAGCATCGAAATCAGTTTTTATTTTTATAACTTTATACATACTGCTTGGAAGTTGTTAATAAAAAATCAACTGTTAAAAGTTCAAAGCGTTGCCGTCCTTACACTTGTTGCTTGGCATGACCTGGTGGTTAGGGCGCTCGATTCGCAACCTACGAGTCGCGGGTTCGAATGCTCTTACCGAATATTCTTGCCATTTCAATTGTGGGGACGTTTTAATGTGACGATCAATCACACTTTTCGCTGGTAAACGGTGGCCCACGTGTTGGCAATGGGAGGTGTTACCAGCTGCATTCCCTCTAGTCTATCACTCAAAATTAGGAACAGCTAGCGCAGATAGCCTTCGAATAGCTTTACACGAAATTCAACAAAATAAACAGACTTTAAATTGCCTAAGTGAAATGAATAGAAGTCTCTGGAAGTAGCGTCCAGTTAAGACAGTTGACACATCATTGATGTTTTTTTGACTCGAGTGTGAAGTTAGCGGTTATTGTTATATGTTATTATATTGTTAGGTTTCTGAAGTGAGGAGCTTTTCATGTCTGTTAAAATTGTATAATTCTTAAACATTCTTAACGTAGACACACATTTTAATCATCATGTTTAAACTAAAATTAAGAGTCTACATTATTAGAAGTAAACCTGCTCATACGGGAATATCAATGTTTAATGTGTGAAATAAAACCAATGCTGAGCAAGAGTACACTGTCCTGCTTGCCTGGTTTTAGAACTTATTTTAATCTCTGGAGTTCACGCTTTACGTGTAAATAAATATATTTCGAATAAAAAAAAAAACAATCATGTGATCGTAACGGTTTTCATGCATTGTTCACGAGATTAATTGAATGAGACTAACCGACCAACTTACTCCTGTGATACTTAATTTGAAGATTAAGGATTAAGATAAAACGTTTGGCACGATCTACGATGGTGTCCACACGTGAATAGCATGACTTGATACCGATCACGTTTGGAGAAATTGCTATCGTGCACATTCATGGGAAATGTCACGTGATTTGAGAGCAGCACACCCATCATGACGTAATATATTTTGAGTGGTTTAATTCTGTAAATATTCAAAACTCGGAGCCATGTTCCATTATACGTATGTGCTCAATTTTGATGATCATGATTATCGGTTCTAATCAAGCCCCTTGGAATGTTTTTTTTTTTACTTTGGTGTAAAAGTTTATATAAACGCCATTTGTTCATTATATGCTAAACATTTGATATTGCATGAAATAATCAAATACCAGTTCATGGGTATTTTTCTGGCATTACCGAAGCCGCCGTACCGGTCACAACTTTGGGTCTGCCATATTTTTATGTCTTTGGTAAATGTATGGTTAAGCTTGGCTGGTAGTGGCCCAGTTGTTAGCGTGCCGGGCTGTGAAGCCGAGGATCCATGTTTCGTGGCCTTTTACGCAAAATCGCGCTCAGCACATTGGAGCCGTTGCTACGTTTTAAGGTCAACGGTTAAATTCCATTATTAGATTAGAGTAGCCTAAGAGTTGGCGTTGGGTGCTTTTGGCTAGCTTCCTTCCTTCTAGTCTAAGTTCAGAACTAGGAACGGCTAGCGTAGACAACCGTTGTGTAGCTTGTCGCATATGTTGTAAGATTTTAAATCTTAATATTTACAAAAACAACAAACAGAAAATGCAGTATTCTTAAGGGCCACATGATATGGCGGTGGTGGTTGGAGCCAAATAAAAAGTGGCTAATGATGTATTCACAATCAGTGCTGTTAGGGTGAAATTAGATTTTTATGCATTATAAGCACCCACTCACACATTTCCAGTGTAAGATACTTTAATTAAACAGTAGTCTGCGCAGTGACGACATTCACATATTTAAAAGTTATTTATTGTAGTTGGATGACTCCACCTGGGTAACTTAAGCATGTCCAAAAAAAGTTCTTGGTTCCTTTCTCTAAACTCACGTTATACTAGGCAAGAAATTAAGGTTTGTCCAAACCAGTACATTTCAGACTTGTGTTCAAAAGTTTTCTAATAAGGGATAGCCATCTTTAGATCGAAAATTTTAAAAAAATAACTAAGTACTCGTTAAAAAATAAACTGATGAGGACTGACACGTTATAATATAAATGTACATATGTATATAAGTAGGCAGATTTTGTTAAACAAGACCGATGTCTGTAGGTTTACTTTCTTCTTAGAATTCTTCTCAAGAAGTCGATAAGCCGTCTTAACGTTGTTAGAACAACGGGTAAAAGTTGTAGATAGTGATGTATATAAGTATGTGTGTAAATAAAAAAATTATTAATCGTTATTAAATGTTTAGATTATTTTGTTTGTTTGTTTTAAATTATTCACAAAGCTACACAGTGGGCTAGCTGTGCTCTGCCCACCACGATATCGAAACCCGGTTTCTAGCGTTGTAAGTCCGCATACATACCGCTGTGCCACTGGGTGGCGATTATTTTGTTTTCAAAATTTTTATCTTTAAATAAAAACATACATACATACCGGTTTTGTATCTAAGAATTCTATCAAGTTTCTAAAATAAAACGCATTTTATAACATAAACATAAGAATGACAAGACTTCCCGATTTTTTTTTTTACTTTAAAGCTTTGTATATGTTTTATACTCCCTTTGGTTGTTACACTATGTAACATTTAATGCGGTTATAAATTTATTAATAATTATCGTAAATAATCTCGTATTTTTGTTTTTACCAGAAAGGAAATATTAAAAAACGAATCTTGTAAAACGTGATTTTTTCCATAATACAATTAATAATGTGTTTATTAACAGGTAATGTGTGATTATTTGCATTTTTACAACAGATTTTTGTACATTTATATACTTCTTTTAAATTTCATGGATGCCTCTCTAACCAGAATTATTAGGGACTTTATTGAAGTTATATAAACAAACTGTCTATCGGAGTTGTGCATGAGAAGGATCTGTTAATTAATGAGAAGTCACTGAGAAGCTAAACTTGAACGCCGTATTAGTATCAGTTATAGTTCACAATATGATGATGTAATAATAATTTGGAAGGTGTAGTGGTTCTAAAATTTTCGTACAATATGCTGATTAAAATTATTAGTCTGAGGGAACTTAAATATAAATCTTTTTTTTTTTTTTCTGTCGCTTTCTAAACGTTCCTGTACGATCTCGGATCTCGCACGCATCTTCCCTTTGTTCTCTAAGGAATGACTCGTTGTCGGTGGAAAATATCTCCGTTGCTAGGTAACGACCGCACTATCCGATTGAGTTGGCCCACGTGGTACACCCCGAGTTCGTGTTGTGGCCCTTCTAGGCTGTTTGTGTTCTGCTTTGCTGGAGAAATCATGATGTTTTTTTTTTATTATCAATTTACTATATAGTGAATCAGGTTATTTTGTCGGTAGATCGTTTGAAGGTGGATATAATACGTTATTAATTTATTATTAAATATATGTAGATTTTGATAATGAACGCTTTATTTCGAAGTACAGGAATGAATGAACTGCTAAACTTGGAATGGTAGTGAACGCCTTAGTGTGTTAAAAAAATCGTAGAACATCTAATGTAATGGAAGCGGCCATAGTTGGATCTCGTGGTACCACGCCGACAAGCTCGACCCAACTACTCATGCGTGATTCACGGTCTTTGACCTATCTGCGCAACCACCGGAGCGTATGTGGTAAAAGAGTAGTGTTCTCTTCTTGGTCAGTGGCTTTTAAAAGTTTTTGAACATGGCCAGACGACTGTAAAGGTCACCGAATGTCAAAAAGATCGTGTAGAAGTGGTCATTTATCTGTAGCTTATCTGATAATCTGTTCTTGTATTGTTAGTGTGTAACATTACACAGTTCATTTGTGAGTAAATGTTATTAACACGTAGCCGTTGATGTTTGTGTTTATATAGATAAATAGATGTAGTAACAAAATAGTTTAAAATACGTCGACATTTCAATTTTTCTTTGATATCCCATTTTAAGCTGTTCTGTAAAATACCATCTGAATTTCAGAGATATATATATATATACAGGGTAAGACAAACGTTACTATACAGTTGATATAGTTTGTATTATGCTATTGATACTAAATAAAATATTACGAAGACAATTGAAACCAATTACGTTATTACAATTGGACTTGTCATAAGACATTAGTATTAGGCCTATTACATTTTTAAACACTACTTCAAGAATTGGAAGAGCGTACAACCACATTATATTTGTCATACATACAATAACAGTATTCCTACCACGTTACTTAATACATCAGTCTAACTGTGAATATGCAATGCCATAAAACAAAGCAAAATCACGTGATGACCAAAAAGCATTGATTGATCAGTTGGATAGTGTTGCTGTCGACATTTTCGGCCGTAATCCCAATAATTTCATGAAGTTTACCAGCCTAGGATATTTAGGCTAGTTTATTCCGAAATCTATGTACCTAGCTAACAATGTAAAA